TGTTGGATCTGTTTTTGTAATCCAGGTTACTAGCCTATGTCTCTTGATTCGTGAATTTAAGCCATGTTGCAGTCTGGCTGGGCACAAATCACGAGCCACTGAAGCAGGAACAAACTTTATTTTTGAACTGCAAGAAAAAACCTCACACACGCTCCTGGGGAATTCTCCCGAATGCCATGCGGCTCCTCCAGGAACCCCCAGCCAGAAATATCTCTCCGGGAAATCCCTCCTCCTGCACTTCCCCAATCATTGGGAACTCTCGGGGAATCCCCGGAAATCCCCACGAGAACTCCAAAATAGCACCAGAACTCAAAAGTAGCGGCAGAGGTGGAATTTAATGCCTCACCTGTCAATCAATACTGTTGGCAAAATGCCCAGGGGCCATACAGACTGGCCATGGCTCTCAGCAAAGCCATTAACATTTAGGGTTACTATTGATATATGGTTTGTACTTCCAGTCATGTGTATTTATTTATTTATTTTAGTTTGGCTAGTTTTTCCTCTTTGGTTATTTTTCTCCCTCTTTACTGAGATACCTCCCACTGTTAGTTTTTGGTGCTGTTTTTCAATTCCTCTTCTTGTAATATTTTGCTCATAATCCCTTGCAGTGCTGGTTTTCTGACTGCGAATTCTTTTAACTTTTGTTTATCGTGAAATATTTTAATTTCATTGTCAAATCTGAAGCTTAATTTTGCTGGATATAGTATTCTTGGTTGGAATCCATTATTTTTCAGCGTTTGAATACATTGTTCTAGGATCTTCTTGCTTTCAAGGTCTGTGATGAAAAATCAGCTGTTTACCTAATTGGTTTATCCCTGAATGTAATCTGCCTTCTTTCTCTTGTAGTTTTTAATATTCTCTCCTTGTTCTGTATGTTGGATATCTTCATAATTATGTGTCTTCAAGTTGGTCTATCACGGTTTTGTATGTTTGGGGTCCTGTAGGCTTCCAGGATTTGGCAATCCATTCCATCTTTAATATCTGGGAAGTTTTCTAAGATTATTTCATTCAACAGGTTGTTCATTCCTTTGGTTTGAATCTCTATACCTCTTCTATCCCAATGACTCTCAAGTTTGGTTTTTTTATGACATCGCATATCTCTTGCATGGATTGCTTGTGATTTTTTAACATCCTTTCTGCGTTAACTATATTCTTTTCAAGTTGATAAACTTTGTCTTCATTATCTGATGTTCTGACTTCTATTTGATCTAGTCTATTTGTAATATTCTCGTTTGAGTTTTTCATTTGGTTTATGGTTTCCTGAATTTCTAGGATTACTATTTGATTTTTTTTTAAATCTCTATCTCTTGGTAGAGTTCCTTCTTTGCAATTTGAATTTGCTTATGTAATTCGTTTTCAAAATATTCTTTCATTGTTTCGACTTGCTGTCTAATGACTTCTCTGAGATTCCATTCCATCTGCCTTGAGTTCTTTCTCTGTCCATTTTCCTGATGCCTCTAGGTTCTCCTGTAGATTTAAGTTGTCCTGCATTGTTTGTTATCCTTTTTTCCCTTGTTTTTTTCATGTTGTTCATGTTATTTGCCAACTCTGTTTAACTGCTGAGTTTCTGTATTCTCGTATAAATTTGTTTTGGTTTTGTATATCTCTGTGGCCTCTCCTTTGTTTTGGGAGACTATGCCTAGAAATGTCGGGCTTTATTGTACTTTAAAACTGATTCATTCAATTCATAAAAGGCTTCCGTATTCTGTATGCATATATTGATTTGTTGTTTGGTCTTAGGACTTTATGTTTAGGTTAGGTGCTATGATGGTATGAGGGTTAGTATGTTTTGGCTACTTTGGAAGATTGCTCTACTGAAGGGGGATATTAACAGGCAATTGGATTAGGGTGTTTGGTAATAGCTAGGTATTTAGGAGCCCTATAGACAGCCTCGAAACATTCACATATTTGCATTTAGACAATTACATGTAATGGAAGACATAATGCTTGGGATGAAAGTTGGGGGTTAGGGGAAGGAAAGTGCTCTTAAAAAGAAAGAAGGAGAGGGAGATAGATAGAATAGAGGAGAATGGAAAGAACAATAAAACTTGAAAAGGGAAAGAAAGAAAGAAGGAAAAGGGGAGAAAAGAAAAAAAACTAATAAAATAGAAATTAAAAAAAAAATGAAGTCTTATTAGAGATCCATTTTCTTCTCTTCCAGTAGGCGGAGCTGTGCCCTCCGAGCCGAGCTTCTGCCCTCTATGTGACGACAGCAATCACTGTAAGGTGGCTCCTGGGAGTCTCTCAATCCTGTTAGTCCAGAGCCGTTTCACTTCTCCAGCCCCTCCCCGCCTTCCTCCTGCCAGCCAGCCAGCCAGGTCCTGCTCACCGGAGGTGGTTCCCCAAGGATCTGGTTACAATTGCAGCCCCATCGCATGCCCTATTTCCCGAATGACTGAGCACTCTCTCTGTCATCCATCTAAGCCCCAGTGCTGTGGAGCGGTGATCTGGGAACCGACAGTTTAATTTTTCGGGACCCCTTTGGTGGGCACGCCCTCGGAAACTGGCAGATAAGACCTTGGGTGTCACCGCTGGCGGTAGGGAGAGTTGGGGGTCGGGAATCCCTTGGCCCCTACAGTCACGCCCATGGAGAGATTTTTGAGGTTTCTCAGCTGTTTGTATCTGGTGGGGGTGGGAGTCACATACCTGCTAAAGCGGATTCCGCTGGGAAGGAATCTCATCGGCCAAACTCTGGTGACGTCACCTCTCTGCTATGGTGGGCCCCAGGCTCCTTGCCAGAGTGTCTGAAGGGAGGGGTGAGACTGGCCTGTCTCTGGTCTGACCCAATATCAGTTGGTTTCGGTTCCAGGTTCGCTATTTCATGAAGGCTTGGTTAGAGACCTCTTCATAGGGTCCCTGTGCCATGCCTGCTGAGCCTCGCAGCTCGGCGGGCGGCTGGTCGCTGAGCCACGTGGTGGCGGGTGGCTGTTCTGCAAAGCCTCTGTGTTCTGTGCCTCCTCCGGTCTGCACCCCAGCAGCCCACGCCAGCTCCTCCTCTGGGTCTGCCGGCTGGCTGGGCTCCTCCTCCGGGTCTTCAGGCCAGGTAGTTTAAGGGTGAAAATGTGGGTCTAATTACAGGCCCTGTTAAGGGAACAGCAGCTAAAGTCTTTTGTCCCCAGCAGCTGAGTTATAGCCATTCGGATCTGTAGGACAATCTAGTGGTAGGACAAGAATGTAGCAAAGAGGTTAAGTATAAACTGAATATTCACACATACACACATACACACACACACACACAGAGTGTGTGTATGTATGTATATATATATACACACATAAATAAAAAAATTTAAAAAATGAGAAAATAAAATTTACTTCTGTACAGGTCAAGAATCCTTGTCTCAAGTGAAAGTGTGTGACTCACCTGAGAGGGAGATTCAACCAAGAGATTTTATTGGGGGGTTGCCCCTTCAAAGGGAAAGAAAAGGAGAGGCAGAGATCAGAGAGAGGAGAGCAGGAGGGCAGAGAGTGTGAGCTTACAAGCTTCAGCTTAAGAAGGGTTGCACAGGTGACGTGGTGGGTGCAGATTGTCAGGGTGACTTGGGAATGGTGAGTGGATGCTGTGTCCCATGGAGATTGGTTGAGAAAACTTTTGAATTTGGTGCCCCTTGGAGGGGAGGGAGAGGGGAAAGGGATTACATGTGTTCTCGCGAGATGGAAAGTTAACTTTAGCGGGGAGTCTCCCCTCACCCAATATCAAGTCTCATCACAAAACTTTCCTTCCCTTTTTCTCACACTCCAAGGGCAGACTTCTAGTACAAAAAACCCGAAACTCTTTACCTAATATTTCAAAATAGAAATACTTATAAAAACAATCCAAAAAAGTCCACAAAAGCACTTTTCCAACAACGTATTCCATTAATCATCATAATAACTCTTTACATTTATTTAGGGTTGTAAGGTCAGGCAGTGGTGGTGACCAAAAGGAGGCAGATTTAAAAAGGCTGCTGAACCAGGCTTTATTGATATTTTGCTCCTGGGAAGAACACTCAGACTGACAGAGCGGGTAAGAAGAGGGACTGAGGAGAATCTGTCGGGGCTGGACAGGACTAGAATTTTTATGGGCTTAGGGCAGGAAGGGAGGGATTGGGACAGGAAAAAGGGGGTTTTAGAGTTCTTTGTCCTACTGGAGTTGGTCGGGGGAGCTGGCTGAGATCCAGGATTAGCCAAGAGACCCTGTTGATTGATAGGCGATTCCAGTCAGCATCTGATTGGTGGTTCTTTGGTGCCTGCGGGTTGCTTAATCACCTCAAACCGACATCCCGGCCTTTTTGATGATATAAGGCATATATTTTAATTTGGCTACTTCCTGATGGCTAGGAGTCCTGAGGCACAGGGGGTGGCTTGGGTGTCAGTTTGGTGGGGAAATGACTATAGGTGCCGCAGTCTGGCTAGGCACAATTCACGAGCCACTTGTCAAGCAGAAACGAACTTTATTTTTAGAACACACGCTCAGCACCACAGGAGCTCTTCAGGAATTCCCTCAGAGCCCAACTGCCACCCCCGGCTCTCGCGGCCAGCCTCTAAACTGCTCTTGAGCCCAATTGGTTGGGTTTCGTGGGTAGAGCCAAAAGAGTCCCCCAATGAGCAGCTCCGTGGTCTGAAAGGGCGGGCAAACAGCCCAATGAGCATCACTGCAGAGCAGCCAATCAGCTGGAAGTTTGCTGGTGCCACTTCGGCTGTGGCTCTCAACAATAGGGTTGTAGGAGCATCTGTTTTTATAGGTCACTCTGGCAATTTCACCCATGTGCTTTCCGGCAAACCTGAGGAGGCAGAGAGCAATCATTAATAGAAGCCCTATTACTAATATGGGAGAGAGAATGGGAGTCAGCCACGTAATGAGGATAGCTTTTAGCCAGCTTGGCCAGGGGAGGCATTGCTGCACATATGTGGGATGAGGTGGTCTTGTTGAATCCAGTAATGTTAACAGTAACCGCCTGATTGCAGCCAGTGGAAAGGCAATCACCTTCACCCATAAACTGAGAGTGGGTGGTGCCATCCTGCTGCCATGTTGCTTGGATATAGAAGCACCATCTGTGGGTTGGGAGAGAAGCTTGACAGAGATTAATGATTAGTAAAAGAAGAAGAGGGTTGGCAAGAAATTTTGAGTTTGGTGGGCCTCAACATGGTTGAAGTACAGGACTGGACATTTGGAACAAGTGCTTTGCCGCAGTCTGGCTGGGCACAAATAACCGGAAGGTCACCAGCACTTGTAGATTCAAGCAGGAGCGAACTTTATTCCAGAACCCATGTGAACTCAACTGGAACTCCACGAGAACTCAACGGGAACTCAATGGAAACTCCTCGAGAACTCAAAAGTTGCAGGCACCCGAGGCAGCAGGAGCCGCCCCTTCTGGCAAAATGCCAGGCACCATCTTGACCTGGCCGTGGTTCTCAACTCTCCCCTCTTTTGTTTAATTAAACAACAAGTATGTGGCTTAGGGCCGTGCCTGTCTTAGATTGTTCAATACTACATATGGTCCTTACCCGTCATCGGATGAGCTGACCTCAAGGCGTGAGCCTCCTGTCTTTGGTTGATACCATTGCAATTGGATCTTACCCATCATTGACTACCGTCCTGGCATAATTTAGCCATACTTGTGGATAGTGGTTTTTACACAAAACCATAAACAACCTGCTACAAGCAGAAAGGGGAGAATACAAAATGCCATGACACCAAGCCAATTGACAGTCCCTTTTGGAAAAATTGTACCACTGGTGACATCATCAGCAAAGATACCCCGGCACTACCACAAATAACTGCACCAACAGATAGTTCACAATGCATTCAAGTGATACATGGTCCAGGCAAGTTCTGCAAGCAGTTCAAAGCAGAGGAATCCATTAATATGTCCATTTCCTCCCAAAGTAAATCGACTCCTTGATTGAGCATTACTTGTTGAGTTATTATTCATTGATGCATCAGTTTTTACAGTTTGTTGTGATAGCTATCGCAGAAGCTGTAGTTTGGTTTTAAGTCATTCTTTATCTTTGTCTTCACTGGCACTGGGATGAAGATAGGAATTCTGGCAATGATGGCTAAGAAAAAATTATGTAACATTCTAGCAGGCACTAAAAAAAGCAATTTTCTAAACAATTTAGTATCCTGAATAGAATTAGATACAATGAAAAGGAAAGGTGAAAGTAAACAAACAGATCTGTTAACCACATTTTAAAACAATTCTCAACAGCTGTTTACCTAATTTAAATTAAACCGTTTAAATCACGTGAATAAAAAAATACTTGGATCCATTTTTTCATGAGGGCTCCTCATATATGATATATGGACATATGTACATACAGACATACAACACAAAACATAAGTGTGCACACATAACATACAATACATAAGGCAATAGTAAAGGCCTTGTAGCTTTTCACAGGTGAAATCCCCATTGCAATGCTCAAAAACTCCACAGTTAAAAAATAGAACTGATCAGCAAAACATTAACCTAGGTCTGTATGAGCTCAAAAAACAAAATAGAACTTCATGATGTGGGAAAGGGCAATAGTAAAATAGATATTGAAAGAAGCATCCTGGTTACCACCTGGATTTGACTCTTCTTTTGATATCCCATCCTTTTTCCTGTAACTTGCATATGGGTCTAAAGGTATTCCCACAAGCAAGCCCCAAGGTTTTTAACATTTGAAATAGGCCTTAATGGTGTTAATTATTCATTAGCCTCCAGGTGTGGGAGAACCACTGTCACAGATGTAAGGATACCAAACTGGAGTTCTGGATATCAGCTATTTTCGACTTGAGCCAAATCATCATCTTTTTGGTCTGTAGAAATCGCTTTAGTTAGTCTCTCTGGAATCCAAATCGGCTGCTGTTCTCCCCTCATGCTTCAGGTGTTCCCCATACGGGCCACAAAATGCCGCAGTCTGGCTGGGCACAAATAACCGGGAGGTCACCAGCCACTTGTAGATTCAAGCAGGAACGAACTTTATTCCAGAATCCACGTGAACTCAACGTGAACTCCACGAGAACTCAAAAGTAGCAGGCACCTGAGGCAGCAGGAGCCACCCTTTCTGGCAAAATGCCAGGCACCATCTTGACCTGGCCATGGCTCTCAACAGTGCTTTTCTTTTTTTTAAGAAGAGAGAGAATTTTTTTAATATTTATTTTTTAGTTTTCGGCGGACATAACATCTTTGTATGTGGTGCTGAGGATAAAACCCGGGCTACACGCATGCCAGGTGAGCCACATCCCCAGCCCTGGAACAAGTGCTTTTTTAAGGTGGGAGACATGGTATCGGGGAGTGGCCCCAAAGCTTGGCTTCCATTGGGGTAGTATGACTATATGGGTCCTGTCCAGTACGGTTCCAACAATTGAGGATGCAGCTGTCAAAGTAAGGCTGTGTTACCCTGTTGAAGAGGGTCTGATTCAGTTCCTGGTGCTGAGACAAAGGTAACGGATGGCACAGGAAGGCATGGGTCTGCGTGTTCCCTTAGGAGTTTGTGTAGAAGAGTGAGACAGGGCAGGTAGGACACAGGGGAGGAGGAGTGCTTGGAAAGCTTTGGTTGTTAAGAAAGGGCACCCATAGAGTAGCTCAAAGGGGCTAAGGCCTGAGGGGGCTGTAGGGGCTGCCTGAATTTGGGTGAGGGTCAGTGGCAGGAGATGGGCCTGAGTTCAATAGCAAGTTTAGTGAGATGATCCTTGGGAATGCTGTTGGGCCTCTCACCATTACCGGAGGTTTGGGATTGGTAGGAGTTGTAGAGCCTCCAAGTGATGTTGAGGCTTTGGAGACGAGTTGAACAGCCTGAGAATTGAAGGCCATACTGTTGTACTGTTGTCTGGATGGAGGTGATGGTGTGAGCAGTTTCCCTGGGGGTGGGGAAGGATTCTGTCCAACTGTTAGAGAGTGCTCTTCCTCTACTACCCCTTAGAATGGGAGGAGGGTGTCTAAAGGAATCTGATAGGGAGAACTCTGTCTAGTGGAGTGGAGCTGATTCTTACCAAAGCAGTTGGTCACACCTGGTCCCAGGGTAGGTGCGTTCCTGACAGTTGCTCGTTGTGACTTGAGAATTGGATTCTTCCGCTCCTCCTTCCTGGAGCCCTGGGGACGGCATGCAGTGGGTGACTTTCAGATGATCCTCCACCCCATGCCAGTTGCACCTCTTGAGCCATGAACGCTGGCCCATTATCTGATCCCATGGTGATTGGGATTCCACATTGGGGAATGATTTCCTTCAGGAGAGGTGGGGCCACTTCCTGTGCCTCTCTGTGGATAGGGAAGGCCTCTACCTGGCCTGACAAAGTACTCAGAGACCAGTAGACGTTTACAGCCCTGAACCTTAGTGAAGTCCACAGCAACATTTCAAATGGGGCCCCTCCAACACTTTGTGCCCCAGGGGAGGCCTTAGGACCCTGCTGTGGGTTGTTCTGGGCCCGTGTTTCACGCTATTCCTGTACCACTGTGGCTGTGCTGGAGAGCTGGGGAATGCAGAAATGATGGCCAAACGTAGCCTGGAGAGCTTTATGGCCAGCGTGGGTCTCCTGGTGGAGCTGCTGGAAAAGGCTGGGGCTGGGGCCTTAGGAACTGCTCTTCAGGCATCTTCAAGTCCTCACCATCCTCTCTGGAGGTCATTTCTGCTGCAGTCCAGCTGCAGCAAAATAACCAGGGGGTGACGAACAACTTGAGTACATTGATACAGCAGGAGTGGGAGCCCTTTATTGTAGGACAGGAGGGGTATATATACATTCCACACAGCTTATCTTAATTAACATAAACTAGATACAGCAGTCAACCAATAAGGAATCTCCACACTTAATGGCTCGCTAGCGTTACTTCACAAACCACTCCCTCTGGCAAAATGCCAGGCGCCATCCAGACTTGTTTACAGACTCTAACACATTCCCATTTTCAGTTCTAAACCAGGTGTTCTCGTGCTGTGCGCAATTGAGGGTCTCTTTCTGCCAGTGGATGAGGACACAGGACTGCAGTCAGGGTGGCACCGTGGGTCGTCTTACCCCTCAGAGGCCTTGAGCTTTGCCTCTTGGTCTCTTTTAGGATTCCCCAAGCGACTGTGGCATTCCCATTTGATACTCTTGAGGGAAAATTGAACAGTTGTTTCTGTTGGAGTTCAGTATTTTCTCTGCTTCCTTCTCATCCACTAGGTGGGTTGTCTGGAGTTTGCTGGGGTCTCCAACCTCTGGATGGTGCAGTTGCTAGTGCAGAAGTGTTAGTCTGGGAGATGATGTTGAGAGCCACAGCCAAGTCGGGATGGTGCCTGACATTTTGCCAGAAGGAGTGGTTGGGAGGTGACGCCAGCGAGCCATTGGGATGATGGTGATGAAGTTAAGCTGTGTATAATTATTGGGATGGTGACTGATTGCTGTAACTGGATGATGCTGGATTGGGGCAAGCTGTGTATTCAATTGTGTATGTATGTCACAGTCTGGCTGGGCACAATTCACAAGCCACTTGCCAAGCAGGTGTGAATTTTAGCACGCACTCCGCACCATGTGAGCTCACTCCAGGAATTCCCGGAGAGCTCAACCGCCACCTCCGGCGGCACTTCCAGCAAGCACTTCACCGGAACTGTTAGGTCATTTTCAAACTTCCGGCTCTTGAGGCAGACTTCTGGGTCAAGTGGGCAGAGCCAAAAGAGTCCCCCAGTGCAAAGCTCCCTGGTGTCTGAAAGGGCGGGGAAACAGCCCAGTGAGTGTCACCGCAGAGGAGCCAATCAGCTGGAAGTTTGCTGGGGCCGCCTATGGGGGTGGCGTCACTGAGCCGGCTCTGGTTCTCAACATATGTGGACCTCTGCTGTCCGGCAGTGGGGCGGCTACTGCTGCCTCGGGTGCCCGCTACTTTTGAGTTCTCGCGGAGTTCCCATTGAGTTCCTGTTGGTTCTCTCAGAGTTTCGGTGGAATTCTAGAGAGTTCCTGTTGGGTTGGGGGAATAAAGGAGTTCCTGTTTGAACCTACAAGTGGCTCGTGACTTCCCGGTTATTTTGTGTCCAGCCAGACTGCGGCAAGGTGGAACTCCGGTAGGTGCGATACAGCAGTGGCCTGTCCCTGCTGGAAGACTGTACCCTGGGAGTCTCCTTTGGGGTCCACTGTGTGATGTGGGAGCCTGGTCATAGTTTCTTATATCCTCTGTGGACTCCACAATTCCTGGTATCTAAGTTTAGTCTCCAAACTGTATCCCGACTGCCCCTGCCCTTTGACTTCCAATCAGGCACCTGTCTATCTGGAAATCCTGGGGGCTGAGCACCAGGGCACACCAGAATCCTGTGTGAGAGCTGTGGGCTGACATCGTAGCTTAAAGTGCTGGGCTGGGTGGGTCCCTGGATGGGAGGAGGGTTGGAAGACTGGGGATTGGAGACAGAAGACTCTGTTGATACCACACTGGCAAGACCAGGTGATCCTTGGATGCCAGATTGTGGAGGGATTCAGGAAGTGGGCTGCTGTTGGGTCCCAGCCAGAGGTGCCAGAGTTGTACCTGCAACCCAGTGGGTGACTGGGTAAGTTGAGATCGAGGTGCTTTCTCACCCTCTTCCACTTTGTCACATCTGCAAGGCACTCTCCTGCCTCTCCAGCAGGTGGTGGCTATTAGCACACCAGCAGGGAGACCTCACTAACCAAGCCCGTGGGGAACATGGTGATAGTCTTCCAGGCCCTGGCTGTTGTCTGTGGGTGGAAGTGGCTATGTCCCTAGTTTGTGATGGCGGTGATACTACAAGTGTAGGTGCCTTGATATTGGGCTTCTAGGCCCCGCCAGTGTTGCACCATGGAAGCTGCCCAAACTAAAGATGGTGATGGCAGCAGAGGAGGTAACCCAAGATGTAGGGCAAGGCTGCCTGCTTCCCCATCTTGGGGCCGCATATGTCCTGGGACAGCTCCTGGCGATCAGCCAGGTGGCAGTGCTGTGGGCGATGACGGAGGAGGCGGACCACCTCCAGGATAGGTCCAGTACTCTTCCGCCCTTGTGGACAGCTCGTGCCTTCCCTTACGGACTATGGGATGGATATACACGTGAACTTGCTCCACCCCTCTGACCTTTATTCTGATTGGCTCCTGTGCAGTATATAAGCTGGTGTACTTCTTCATTAAACAAAATCTTGCTTAGACTCGTCTCCCTGGCACGTCTGATTGTCCTCCTGTGAGGGAGGGCTGGGTATGGGCCGCCAGTCGAACTTTACCTCTCTTGGCTCATCTTGGGCGGGGTGTGCTTTCCCCCCTTCTCCTGCCAGTCAGGAGGAGACGGCGGGGGGAGGGGTCTAAAAACCCTGACACGGCAAGGCTGTGCTGTGCAGTGGTATTGGGCAGCTGATTCAGAGATGCACATTGTGGCTGGCAGTGCCCTGGAGGGCAGCTGCCTCCAGCCCGTCTGGTGTCCCAAGGTGGAGGCTACCACATCGAGGGGGCGATGGTGGTAGCTTCAGTGTCACAGATGGAGGTGGCTGAGGCAGCCCTGCGTTGGTAGGTGAGGAGGACCCTGTGCCACTAGAGGTCGGTGTCCATGGCGGGGTGGGACGTTACTGTTAGAGCCAGCATGTTTATCATGGGACCAACACACAGGTCATGTCCACTGTAGCCAATGTAATTGAGTTCAGTTACAGGAGCAGGGGTGCTATGTCTGTGGTGCCTCCCACCAGAAGGATACATATCGCTGGTAAATACTGGGATGGGTTAGCCAGTCCACACACAGCTGGCTTCACTAAAGACGGGTCTGGGAACAAGGTCCAGTAAGTTTCCCCCTGGACTGCTCAAGAGAGCCTTCGTGGCCACAGATACTATGGTTGGTGACTTGATACCTCCTTGCTGTTGAACCATCTGCTCATCCTGACGTGACAGGTCATTGAGTTATTTCCATGTTGGCAGGTTGGGCCTTTGGTTGTTCAGAAAGGGGCTTTGTTTGCCCCTCTCCCACCTCCTCAGCTTTCCCTTCCTTTTGGAGGACTGACACCTCTGGTTTGATTTTAGTCCTTTGAACTTTGGCTCCAGATTCTGCATGTTGGACAGCACGTTCAGGTACCCAAATAGGAGGAGATGCACCTTCTGGGAAGACACAAGCCTAACCTACACCCCAATTATCATGGATCTGGTCCTTTCCACTGTCCTGTTGGTGAATCTTTCCTCCATACTAGGTAGGCCTGACGGGCCTGTGGCAATGGAGGACATGTGTCCCTTAGCATTGCGACCTTAAGAATCACAATTTAAAATATTTAAAACAAACAAGGCTTGATTAAGATTATTTCATGGGGTTCAGTTTCCCCTTTTTGTTTTTGTAATTGTTTGAGAGACAAGTGAGCTTGCTCCACTTGAGCCTGACCTTGAGGAGGAAGGAATGCACAGTGAGTTCAGGGCTGGGGGCAGCCAGTCTGAGGCAGTCTCTCTCCCAGTAGATCCAAGCTGCCTCTGCCTGTGGTCTGCCTTCACTGTCTGCTGTTTACCTGTTGGCAGGCTAAGCCGAGAGCAGTGTGGAGTCCTGATCCGTGGGTCTGTGGCCATCCTTGTTTGGGTCACGGCAGTGCTGGGCTCTCTCCAAGGTCTAGGAGCCTGGTTTGGGTTAGGCCACTGTTAAGAGGCTCCTGGAGCATCTCTGAGAGGGGAGCAGCTGGAGAGGGTGAAGTGACGGCTCACTGTGTTCCCTGTTTTCCTTGCTTGTGCGTGACTTTGTCTTTCAGGGGGAGGACATGGGTGGCAAACAGAGTAAGCGTTCACCTTAGAGTATGTGGTAGAGAATTTTAAAGAAGGTATTTCTGGGACTACATGGTTAAGCTGATTCCTGGACACCTCCTGGCCTTCTGTGAAGTGGACCTCATTTGAAGTAGGCTGGTCACTGAGAGATCCTAGACAAAGACTAGTTAGCAAGTGGATGTGTTAGCTGAGGGTCTTTATAGGTACCCTGGGCATCCTGAGCAGTTTCTTTACATTGATTGCTGGCCCAGACATGGTTCCCTCTTGGCCATATTGGCTAATTACCTGATTGGAGGAGAAGTGTAGAATTGTGTTGACCAGGGTGAGGGCTCCCTCAAAATGCCCACGGAGCTTGAGGAGCCCATTCTATCAAGGAGGCAGAGGAGATTGCCCACTGTATGCAGCCTGTGATTGAAAATACCAACAGGAAGCCCTTAGGAGTTTTACACACAGGTCTCTCATGACACCAAACTCCTCTTGTCCAGCTGTCTCCAAAATTTCTAGTGGGGCTGCTCTGTCATCTATCACACTGCTTTGTGTAGAATCTGCAATAATTGGGTCATAATCTGTTACAAAATAGACTGGATGATCTGGATGCTGAACACCTACTTTCTCACACTACCGACATGCCCTGGCAGCCATGAGCTATTGCTTTTCCTGGTTGGAGCCTCTTGCCAGCTGGCCACTGCCAGCTGTGGGTTCTGAGCATGGGGAACTGCTTGGAAGGACGCTTGGCACAGCAACAAGGCCCCGAGGAGGCTGGAGGAGCGCAGTGAGTGCAGGGGTTGGGGGCTGCCTGTCTGGAGGTGCGCTCCTCAAAGTGCCTGCTGAATGCAGCATCCAGCACTGCTGCAAAATCTCAAATGTGTTTTTATAAATTGGTAAATGGGACAGCAATTTAAAGAACGCTTTGTTCTGGGTCTTTGCTGAAAACAAGGCTCATTAAGACTTAAAAATCTAACAAGTGTAATTTATGTCCAAAGAGTATGAAAAATTTTAACTTCATTTTAATTAAAGTGCTATAAAAAGTATTTCATCTTGTTAAAAAAGTAATTTGTTAAAATTCGAAATTTCATGTTTCAAAATGTAAATTTAAGAAAGTCATAGGTAATGTTGTTCAGTTAACAAGCTGTAAAATATATCCGTTGCAGAAGGTTTATGAAATGTGAATCTTTCTATGTGATTTAATGAACTATAATTAACATAGTTTTACTAAAGTCAAATTTTAATGTAGTGACATAGAGCAAAGTCTAATTCTCTAGGTTTAACAACAGGGTTTCTTAAAACATTGGTGTCTATTAAGATAATGTCTTGTCTTGCCCGTTAAGTTTAATATGTGAGGAAACTAAGCCTTATAAGGTTTGTACCTATTTTAAAGTCTGTTAAATATTTACTTCTTAACTGTTAAATAAGCAGGTGTTATTATTTAAGGTTGATACCCTAGATATGTGTGATTAGAGATACATGCTAAATTTTCAAGCTTTGTCTGTTTTATAAAATTTGCAAAATATAGGCACAGTAACCAATAAGTGCTGTTTTAAATACATTGTCCATTTTAAATTTGGCTTACATCTGTTTGAGTACATATTAATGAGATGCCTTTTTACATCAGAGAATTATTTCTAATCACTAATACTTTTTCTCTTGGTAATTTCACTTTTTGTACTTTTCTTGTAAAAGTTTATAACTATTTCCTGTTGCTTTTGACATGACCTGAGTTAATTTGAGATAATAAGCCATCACTTTCAGGACAGATAGAACACTAATTTCAGTAAATAGAAGGGGTTACTATAATATTCTACACATTAACATTATAATCCATCACTCCCAATTTTAAGGCCGATGAAACTGGCCTGCTTTGTGTTTAAAACCAGGGGATGATATCAAGGAAGGTAAAGGGCTAAGGAAAATAGCCATATTTTGACCCTTGCCCTCTTAATTCAGCCAAAACTCAAAGAATAATGGGACTTCAATAAAGACTTTGCAACTCTGGGTCACATGACCTCCTGATCAGGGGGATCAGAGGGATCCTAGAGAGCAGAAAGCCAACCAGTGTACATCCTACAAAAAGGAGGGTCATTGGGAAGGGAAATGTCCCTGATGGTTCCAAGGGAAGCCACATGTGGTCTTCAAGACCCTGGCCCATCCTAGCAGATGACATAATTATTAGAGGAGTTGAGAGGCTTCTCACCAGTTCCCAAGAATGACCCTCAAAAATCTCAGCAGTAGTAGGCAATAGAAATAAGGTCAATTTTTGACTAACCTGGCAGGAGAGTTCTAACCAAAGTACAGTCCTACAAGGACATTTAGGAGAGAATGGCTGTTTCAGTATAACTTGTATCTATACTTACCACTTCTCTCAAAAGTAATAAAAAGTAAATAAAACTGGGAGATTACACAGCTAAAGGATATCTGACAGGTAATACTGATAAAAAGCTGTTTTACAAAAATCAGGTGGCCCTCTTGCTCAGGAGGATGCCTGAGTCTTTATGAAAGCAAAATGTAATGTAGATGTTTCTAACAACCTTGCAAATGTTTCCAGTAGGTGGCCCTCAGAAATCAGTGACATGTTAGATTACACCCTAAGATTGACTAAGCCACTGTCTTCATAGATTTCAGGGACTAGTTAATAAAACTGGTTACTTGGTGTTAATTATTTTATAGAAAATAATGCTTTGCTGTCTTGTTTATTGTCTTAACATGACCCCTGCTCTGTGAATGCCTTGTCTGTTACCTGCCATGAGTGACCTGCCAGCCGCCACCATGGACCTGTGGATGGCCCTGATGTGTGAGATGCCCAGGTTCCAAATGGCCTTACACTTGGAATCCAAACCAAGCTCCCTCTCTACTGGTGGCCCTTAGACAGGCCTCTGGGGAAGGATCCTGCCTGCAGTCCCTTTCAACACCCCTTTTCAGCCTAAGTAGCCTGAGTGGTCATCGCCCACAGCCCCTTTCCCTCTAGCGCAGTCAGTGACTTCTTTGGGGGTGGGGAGTGAAGGACAATAGTGGTCGGTCTTATTCAGGAACCACACTGGAGGAACCACACCTGGAGACTGACCTGCAGGCCTATCAGTGAGTGCCATCAAGGACTGTTTCAAACGTAAAAGACCTTGAGGCTCACCTATGAGAACACCTCCAGCCAACTCCTTTGTCCCATAGGTGAAAATGGCGGTGAACCCAGATGGAAGTCACAGGGAGGAGGAAGGGGGGGGTGAACCATGAT